GGAGGGTGGGGTTTGCGGGAGGGGAGGGGCCTCAGCAGGGTACAATGACCTCAGATCAGGTCCACCCTCCAGAGCAGCCATTTTCTCCAGGGGGACTGGTCTCTGTCATCTGGAGATCAACCGTTATTGCAGGAAAGCTCCAGGCCCCACCTGAACGCTGGTAACTCGAGCTGTAGAGGAGGAGGAGATTGGAGGAGGAGGACCCGCCCTTCACTACCCAAAGGTGTCTCAGAGCAGCTTACAAACGCCTTTCCCTTCCCCTCCCCACAACAGACACCCTGTGAGGCAGGTGGGGCTGAGAGAGCTCTGACGGAAACTGCTCTTTTTCAAGAACAGCTCTTATCAGAGCTAAAGCTTGCCCAAGGTCATCCAGCCAGGTGCAAGTGGAGGAGTGGGGAATCAAACCTGGTTCTCCCAGATTAGAGTCCGCGCACTTAACCACTACACCAAACCGGCTCTGATTTCAGGTAACCGAAAACCAGATGCTTGATGGGAATATAGGAATTCTGAATTTAGGGATGTGAGGTTGAAGTTGCTGGGCTTGCATCTTTTGACACGGTTGCCAAGATAGTCAGGTGTGGCTACACACTCTGTGTGACCTACGACACAAAGACATGCGATGCATTTCATGGTTGTGAAAGGAATCTCTGTGCAACCTGAAAAACTGGCTTGTGGGATATTGTCTCTAAGCAATGGCTGATCTTGACTACTTCGTTTCCTGTTCTGTGGATAAGGCCCTCTGGATAACGCTAACCAAGCTTTACTTATGTTATCTAGAGTCTCTGTCCCAGATTAGAGTCCGCACACTTAACCACTACACCAAACTGGCTCTGATTTCAGGTAACCGAAAACCGGATGCTTGATGGGAATATAGGAATTCTGAATTTAGGGATGTGAGGCTGAAGTCGCTGGGCTTGCATATTTTGACAGGGTTGCCAAGGTAGTCAGGTGTGGCTACACACTTTGTGTGACCTACGAGACAAAGACATGTGACGCATTTCATGATCACGTCGTCTTCTTTATTGTTCAATTTCTGCAATGGCTGATCTTGACGACTTCGTTTCCTGTTCTGTGGATAAGGCCCTCTGGATAACGCTAACCAAGCTTTACTTATGTTATCTAGAGTCTCTGCCCGTGCAAGTCAACTTCCATAAGGAGGGAAACTGGTTCTATCCAAAAGCCTCACAGTTTAGCCCATAAGGAAATCTTTCTTTCTCTGCCAAACCTAAGGATTAGTTCACATGACCAGATAAAGCTGTTTTATGCATCATTAGATGAATGTTTTTTCCCCAAACACTGGAGAGTATGCCCTTGCAATTTGATAAGTGTGAATGGCTAAAGTGTACTTACAGTGTAGGCCAGTGCTATGTCCATAGAAGTATCCCCCAAGATTCCACATACCACAGACTAATTATGCATCGAGGCTCTCATGAGCAAGTTGTAGAAACTAGAGTGTCAGTAACATTGGAATATGGATTTCGGAATCACATAACAGGGTACTTTCAACGGGATATTTCATTCCCAGGGGTTCTAAATGCACTTTGGCAGCATGCTCTGAGCATGAGACGATGGCGTGCTCTTTCTTAATAAACCGGGAACCAATAAACCAGCTTTAATGTTTTGAAACTCTGTTATTTGCTGCTTCCTGGCAGGCGACCAACTTCTGAGTGCCACCATATTTTTTGACAATATCAAGTATGAAGACGCGCTCAAGATTTTGCAGTATTCCGAGCCATACAAAGTACAGTTCAGCCTTAAGAGAAAGCTCAGTGGGAAGGAGGATCTGGAGACGATGCCTTCTGCGACACTATCCAAAAAGGAGAAATTAAGCCAGGTAATGCGCTTCTGTGAAACGATACTTAGGGCCGAGCTGTGAGCCACGGGAGGATGGTTTCGTTTTGTTTAATGCAATTTTCGCACTGCATTTTTCAGGGGAAGTGCAGTTGGCGGGAACATGGTCTCTTCGGCAGGGGTTATATATAGGTAGGCTCTGGTTTTTGCTACAGGTCTTCGACTGTTCAGGAGGCCTGCAGAGGCCCAGGAGTCAGCTCCCCCAGAATGCCCACCTCCATTCTTGCAAAAGGAGCAGGTTTTCCATTTATTTTGCCAGTTCACAAATTTATATAGCTCTTTTACCCCGAAAAGGCTTTCAAAACAGTTTAATGGTTAAAACCGTTTCAATGCAATATTATGTTTAAAAACCCTCAGCAGATCTACAAAACCTATCATACCTTGTAATAATAAAGTGCTGGACTCCGCCAAACCCTCAGCAGATCTACAAAACCTATCGTACCTTGTAATAATAAAGTGCTGGACTCGCTCCCCAAGCAGCCAAGCTGACCATGAAATAAGCAGATATAGCTTGTTCACAGTTAAGGCAAAGGCCTCTACTTACTGCGGTGGGTCAAGTGGTTAAGACGCTGAACTGCAGGCTGTGGAAGGTCAGTAGTTCAGCAGTTTGAGACCCGGGTTGCCGCATGACGGAGTGAGCTCCTGTCTTTGGCCCCAGCTCCTGCCAACCTAGCAGTTCGAAAGCAAGAAATTGCAAGTAGATAAATAGGTACCACTTCGGTGGGAAGATAACAGCGTTCCGTGCGCCTTGGTGTTTAGTCATGCCGGCCACATGACCACGGAAACGTCTTCGGACAGCGCTGGCTCTTCGGCTTTGAAACGGAGATGAGCACCGCAACCCTAGAGTTGGACTCGACTAGCAGAAGACCTTTTGGGATTGGCCCCCATTCCCCGCCACCCTTTTTCAAGCCAGCAGTAGAAATATTGGAGGTGACGGTCGCCAGCGTCGGCACATCACGCCGTGTAACTTCCAGCATGAAACTGGAAGTGATGTCCTTACATTGCGCCTGTGCTCTGGAATTCTAGCTTGGGGCAACTCGTAGAGCATTGGGGCAATGAGATGATGTTCTGGTGCCAAAAGTGACATGGCATGTCACTCCGATGCCAATGCAATTGTCCTCGCCCCAGGATCTCCTGGTGGGCCCCCAAGGCTCCCTTGGTGGGTTGCCAGCTGCAACTGGCAACCCAATTTCACAAATTAAATCAAAGGGGGGGGGTGGCCTCTCTGAACAGTCTGATGAGAGCTGAATTGCTCCAGGAGGCAAGGAATGACGAGAACAGTTAAAATAAGTTAAATGAAGGGAATGGGGAGGAACTATTAGCCTGATCAGACTGCTGATATAATCTTGGAAGAAGAAATTGCAGGGAACAAGCAGAATGTCCCAATTGTTGCCATCATACCTCAGTGGGTCTCCCGTGTCCTCCCAACCAACTGTAGCAATCGGCAGTCCCACCAGTCACTGAAAACAGATTGTTGTTGTTGTTCAGTCGCACAGTCGAGTCCGACTCTTCACGACCCCATGGACCAGGTCACGCCAGGCCCTCCTGTCTTCCGCTGTCCTCTGAAGTTCGCTCAATTTCATGTTCATTGCATCGATGACACTGTCCAACCATCTCATCCTTTGCCGTTCCCGTCTTCTTTGACCTTCAATCTTTCCCAGCATCAGGGACTTCTCCAGTGAGGGCTCCCTTCTAATTGGGTGGCCAAAGTATTTGCGCTTCAGTTTCATTATCTGGCCTTCCAGGGAACAGTCAGGGTTGATTTCTTTTAGGATTGACTGATTTGATCTTCTTGCAGTCCAAGGGACTCTCAAGAGTCTTCTCCAGCACCATAGTTCAAAAGAATCTATTCTTCGGCGCTCGGCCTTCCTTGTAGTCCAACTCTCGCAGCCACACATGACTACTGGGAATACCATTGCTTTGACCATGCGGACTTTTGTTGGCAGGGTGATGTCTCTACTTTTTATCATGCTGTTTAGGTTCGCCATTGCTTTCCTCCCAAGGAGCAGGCGTCTTTTAATTTCATGGCTGCTGTCATTTTCCCTGCCTCCAGAAGGAGGCAAAGGAAGAAAGATGAGAAACAGAAAGCTAATTCCACAGCGTCCACGCAACTGCTGAAAAGGCCTTGCGCTTGGTGGACTTTATTCTCGCGTACACTTAAGAAGGGCCTCACTCACGATGGTTCCTCTGGGAGCCAGAACGTCCCAAAGAACCTTTGGGCTCACGCTGTTAGGGTTTAAAAATGTCAGAATTAGCACTTTGCCTTCTGCCTGGAACAAGAGAGGAAGGCTGTGCAAATTCTGGAGCGCCAGTGTAATTTTCCTCCCTTCTCACTCCCGTCCCGCTTCAATACACTGTACCTTCGCTAAAAATCCTCGGTAGAATGGCACCACATACAGTGCATAACGGCGCAGTCCAGAAGTCCTCAAGATATGGCTTAACAAGGGCAGTTTGTTGCAACAGCAGGCACACCCAGTGGGTCGGGTGACGCGGATCTAAGGCATTTCTGGCCACAGACATCACCCAATGTTCTGGTAGCAAAGTGAGATCTAAGAGAACCACCAAGCCTCCAGTCGGTTCCTTTTCAGTGGGTGTAATCCCATCCAGAGCAGGTCTTTCCTTTGCTAACCACTCTGCAGAATCTCACCACCATCTCTCTCTCATCTTCACTGTGCTGTAGACTGATTGCCCCTCGTCTAGTGCTGTGCCATCCTCAGGAGATACCCTCCTGAGGCCGTGATGTTATGGGTGGATAATCTGTGGGCAATGCTGAATGAACTCCATGGACCCAGAGGGAAAACGAATTACGATTGCCCAGGATTCAGTGCCTCCCTTTGCTAATCTGCCCAGCCCCACAAAGAACAGCACTGGACTAAGAATGCAAAGCGGGGGGAAAGGCAAACCATTTAAAAAATACCTAGAACCTGCCCTGTCCTGGATAGCCCAGGCGAGCCGGATCTCATCCAATCTCAGAAGCTAAGCAGGGTCGACTGTGGTTAGTATTTGGATGGGAGACTTCCTTGGAATACCAAGTCGGGAGGACAGGGGCTGGCTTTATTCAGCCCGCCTCTCTGAATATCCTCCGGGTCCCCAGTAGGGGTCAGTCACCAGAGGTTGCCATGACTTCCAGGTGCAGACACACTTGTGCCCATGCACACACAAACAAAATACACACACCAAAAAAAGCAGAACCCAACAGAAAACATACAATGTTGTTTTCCTGATTTATGAGGCTGCTTTTCACAGAGCAGAATCTGTATTGCTTTTCAGTCGTTTATAGTGCAGCGTCTACTGCACCCAACCCTGACTGTGGGTCATACAAGTTAGGGGGAGCTGCAACCTCTTGGCTCATTCTTTCCCGCGGAGCTTCCTCTCGCAAGACAAAGCACTGCACAAGTTGGTTTCGCTTCAGATGTGTGTCTAAGTACTGGGCTCTACTGGTAGCAGGAGCTCCTTTGCATATTAGGCCACACACCCCTAGTGTAGCCAATCCTCCAAGAGCTTACAGAGCTCTTCTTACTGGGGCTACTGTAAGCTCTTGGAGGATTGGCTACACTAGGGGGGCGTGGCCTAATATGCAAAGGAGCTCCTGCTACCAGTAGAGCTTATGATTGTTTTGCAAAGCTTCATGATGTACTGGTTGCAACTATATGTCATGTACTGTTCTGGAAATATATTGTGAAAGACCGCATTTTAAAAAATGTGAGTTACTTCTGCTTTCTCGGGGGTCCCCAACTCGGTGCCTCTAGTGCCAAACAAATATTTTTAGCCATTGAAGATCTGATTGGCTGTGCAGATTAAAATCATGTCGTTTCAGCAGCAGCTGCCACCACCGGGTGATTTTATTCTCTCTCACCGCTCTCTCCCAGTGTATTTTTAAAGTACCACTTTTCTCTCCCGTAGTTGGGCTTCCCCTGTGTGGTTGGCTCTGCTTCCTGTGGCAGCCATTTTGTGGTTGTGCCCACCACCTAGTGTCCGGCTCAAAAAGGCTGGGGACCCCTGTGATAACTTGATGAAATCCAAAGGAAAACATTACATGGGAGATGTGCAGGCTCCAGAACTTAAGAATTTAAGAAGAGCCCTGCTGGATCAGACCAGTGGTCCATCTAGTCCAGCTTCCTGTCTCACACAGTGGCCAGCCAGTTCCTCTGGAGGGCCAGGGCAGAGAGGTTGAGGCCTACATAAGAACATCAGAAGAGCCCTGCTGGATCAGACCAGTGGTCCATCTAGTCCAGCCTCCTGTCTCACACAGTGGCCAGCCAGTTCCTCTGGAGGGCCAGCCACAGGGCAGAGAGGTTGAAGCCTACATAAGAACATCAGAAGAGCTCTGCTGGATCAGACCAGTGGTCCATCTAGTCCAGCCTCCTGTCTCACACAGTGGCCAGCCAGTTCCTCTGGAGGGCCAGCCACAGGGCAGAGAGGTTGAGGCCTACATAAGAACATCAGAAGAGCCCTGCTGGATCAGACCAGTGGTCCACCTAGTCCAGCATCCTGTCTCACATAGTGGCCAACCAGTTCCTCTGGAGGGCCAGCAACAGGGCACGGAGGCCGAGGCCTTCCCCTGATGTTGCCTCCTGGCTCTGGGATTCAGAGGATTAGTGCCTCTGATTGTGGCAGTTTCCCTCAGTCACCATGACTAGTAGACACTGATAGACCTCTCCTCCATGAATCTATCTAACCCTCCTTTAAGGCTGTTTATTCCTGTGGCCATCACTACATCCAGTGGCACCGAATTCCACATTTAAATCACTCTGTGTAAAGAAGCACACAGAAGTACACGGACTGCAAGTATCACTTCTAGTTAGGGTCGCCACCTCTGATTTGGGAAATTCCTGGGGATTTTGAGAGTGGAGCCTGGGATTGGCAGAGTTTGGGGAAAGGAAGAGAGCTCATGAGCTGCCATAGAGGCTGCCTTCCAACAGGGAAACGATCTCTGTAGTCTGCATTCCAGCCTGTAACTACAGAAGAACTCCAAGTTCCACTTGGAGGTTGGTAACCCTACTGAAAAATAAATGATGTTAGCTGAATCGCACAGTAACTGTGCATTCAGCTGGCGATATCTCTCGTTCAAAATCCAAAGGTGCTGTGAGAGTAATATCCATAGTTAGTAGTTCAACTTGCCATTTAGATTTGGGTAAATCTCAACCTCTTGCCTTGAGCAAAGGTTCTCCCACAGTCGTTATGTCCCACTAGTGCTACAGTTTCTTGCGGTGTTTCATTGCAATTGCAAGTTGATATGAAACCTAAGGCGCTTTCACACACCCTGGATAATTCAGTCCGCTTTGAACACACTTTAGAAATTATTTTAAGAACATAAGAGAAGCCAATGTTGGATCAGGCCAATGGCCCATCCAGTCCAACACTCTGTCACACAGTGGCCAAAAATACCAAGTGGCCCA